TACGTACGTACGTACGTACGTACGTACGTACGTACGTACGTACGTACGTACGTACGTACGTACGACGTACGAGACGAGAGAGACGAGAGAGAGAGAGAGAGAGAGAGAGAGAGAGAGAGAGAGAGAGAGAGAGAGGAGAAAGGAAAAGGTTTTTATGATTAATGGTTGCATGAAAGCTCAAGCGTGTAGCCGTCCAATAAAAAAACTGACTACACAAGATGTAATGACATTGACATTGTGTCTGCACTGTCCATTTTTATCGGACAACGCAAGGGCTACAGTCGCAAGCAAGTGCGGGTATATTAAAACTCCACCATATGTATAAATAATTTAAAATTATGATTTTTTTAATTTTTTAATTTCATATTCAATTTATAATCCATCATAAAGAATGGAATTTGGGACTAACAATTGAAACGAATCTATTTATTGTACAATGCAATGCGGTCATCTTATACAACACAGTACTCATTAACTCATTCATAGTGTGAAGCAGTGTTTTAAGAAACGGCGAGTCGTAACGGACTCGCCCAAGTCGACACGGGAATCGGGCACCCCATGTCGGTTCCTTCCTAACACGCAGTATCGAACTGGAGATTCTCTACAGTAAACCGCCCGAGTCACTGTTCAAGACTCGATGAACAGTGTAACGCATGAAAAATCATCACGTTTTGGATTGTTTTGATCAATTATTGGTAAACAAAATCGAATCTTGTAGGCTTTGGATCTCACTTTACAGCCTTATTGAGCATTATAATCGAATTCAAAGGTCGAATTTAGATTAGAAATTCAAAGTTTTGTGAACAACACATGACTATTTTTAGGTTTTCTACTATTTCATGGATTGCAGACGAAATAGGGCACTATTTTTTATCAAATTAGAGGGTTCTTACTCGTGATAGTGTTATTGAGCAAAAATTGTACACCATTTTAACATATTTTGATCGATTATAAGTCAAGTTTGGATTTTGAAGTCACGGTTTCAGAAGAACAAGAGCTTCTTTTTTTCTGCCATTTATTTGATTCCAATCGTTTTTTAGCAAATATTTTCTTCATATCATAGGGTTTTGGTTCTTTATAATGTTATTGACCATAAACTGCATTTTCTCTTTTTTGGTCGATTTGTGGTGGATTTTTTATTTTGAGTCACGGTTTTCTCAAGAATAGTTAGGTTTTCTTCTTCTTTTTTCCACCAAACTATAAATTTTAGACGAATTAAAGCACCATTGTGAATTATTTCAAAGGGTTTTTTAAGGTAATGTTGTTCTTCATATGATTTTGGGTATAATTTGTGGGATTAACCAATTTTTATTGCTCTATTTTTTAAGAAATAGAGTTGTGGCTGCGTTTTTAGAAAGAGAGTTCAAAAATACGCCAAACTGAAATTTTCAGCTGAATTAGGGCATCATTTTGAATGATTTCAGAGGGTTTTTGAGGATAACAATGTTATTCAAACGATTATTGATATTATTTGTGTGATTAACCAAATTTTGGTGATCAATTTTTTGCAAAATCATGATTGTTGGTGTTTTTCAATTTTTTTGAAAAATCGTGATTTTATGAAAAATTGTGACCAAGCTTTGAATTTTTTATTATCATGAGAAATTAACTTGTATTTTTCAATTTTATTGTCAAATTTTTAAAGCAATAAAATGTATGTTGATAGATAAAATTTATGAATGTTCTTGACACATATTTTATAATTGAGAAATGTTGGGGTAGGCCCACTAGCCTACAACTACATATAGGCCCAATGGCCCAGATTGAATCCGGGTCAATCTGGTGGACATGACCTCATTTTGTATTTTAATTTTAATTTTTTTCTACAAATCCAAATCATGTGAAATTTTAGGCATCTATTCTTCTCATCAATGCGCACCTAATAAAAATATTAAAAAAAAATAACTCGCAAAATATAAATTGATCAAAATACCCCTGAAATATTTTTGGGGCATTTTAGTCAATTTATTTTTACGAAATATTTTTATTGGATTCTAATATTTTTAAAGAACACACACACAAAATTTCAAGTGATTTGGATTTATTGACAAAAAATAAAATTCAAAAATGAAATGCAATCATGATCATTGGATCGGCTCAGATTGAATTTGGGTCGTTGGGCTTATATGTAGTTGTACGCTAGTGGGCCTACGCCAGCATTTCCCTTTATAATTATATTATCTTGATTTAGGTAGTGGCATTGTGTAAGACTATCATTATAAATATTATTTGTGGCAAGTCTACACGTGGTGGCATTGTGAATAAGTATATCATTGTAAAAAAAAAATTTTTGATACTATATCATTGTAAATATTTTTTTTTCTTGATTCTAAGTTT